AGTGTTAGAAGGCTAGTGTACAGTCAGCACTCACAGTTCCGGGACAGCTGGCTCTGGGACGCGGGCAAAGTTGTAATTTTAAGAAGCATCTAAACTGTTTTCTCAAAGCTCAAAATTTATAGAAATTTTGCACATTATCTGTTTGAAGGTCACAGATAACGTATGTAAATCGTCAGACGTCTAGTTCGTTGCAAAAAGGGGGTCAGACGTCCTCAAAGTTTTTATTTTATGGCATTTTCTTCGGTGTCCTGTCAAAATATATTTTTGCAGGTATTTGACAAATATATTTCAAGAAAATGCCATAAAATAAAAACTTTGAGGACGTCTGACCCCCTTTTTGCAACGAACTAGACGTCTGACGATTTACATACGTTATCTGTGACCTTCAAACAGATAATGTGCAAAATTTCTATAAATTTTGAGCTTTGAGAAAACAGTTTAGATGCTTCTTAAAATTACAACTTTGCCCGCGTCCTAGAGCCAGCTGTCCCGGAACTGTGAGTGCTGACTGTACACTAGCATTCTAGCACTAAAGTACGACCTATTTTGAAAATATCCGCCTTGCGAAAACTCTTGCATGTTTTTGGCGCCACCTCCTGGACTATAAGGGAAGTTCAACGATCAACGCTTAAAGTGACGTCATTTTTTACACGAAAACAATTCTTCTTTTTTATTAGCTAATGCTAAATTTTTTGACAGTTGACAGCACGCTCAACAACGTTTGTTTGTTTATTGTTTGTGAACAAATGTCCGGCACCTGTGTGTTTTGTTTTTGTTGTTGTGAATAATTCAATAATTAAAACAAATAAGCAATACAAATCATTAAAAAGTGGTTTCCCGGGTGGCAACAAACAATAATTTATTGAAATCCGCATCAGGTAAGTCTAGGAATAATTGAAAAAAGTCCAGAGAAGTTTTGATAAAAATTTGAAGAAATATAAGTTGGAGGAATTTCAAAAAGTCTGAGAAAGTAGACATTTTCTCTAAGTTTCCTCTGAATATTGTTCCTTGGACTTCCTCCTAGCATTACCTCAATTAACGTTTAAGATTTAGGCCCGGTTTTATTCACCTGATAAACTGTCCTGTCAGGTATGCAAACTGAAGGATAAACGCAATTCAGTCTGCAATTCCATTGGTAGGTCAGTTATCTGTTGACCAATAGAGTTATAGAATGGTAAATTTATCTTGCAGATAGTTATCAGTAAGTTTATCTGAAGAAATTGGGCCTTATTATGACTACTGACTGAATCAAACTTAATGAATTAGAAATTTCTTTAATATCGACTCGAATATCGACTTACACATTTACACAAATTACTGAAGTTTTATTAGTAATCTATGACTTTAAAATAGTGAGCAAAAAATTTTTTTTGAAGAATTCATCTACGTCATTCAAATGTCAATCTTCAAGGGTCGGTTTATCCTCGGGTTTATCAGTGGACGGCTAGCCTATCGGTTAACCAATGATAATTATTAGTTAATCTAGAGCTAAACTACATAACCGTTCACTGACAAACTGGCACTTAAAGGGCAAGTATTATGAAACTATTTTGACAAAAATAATTAAAAGTTAACTTCTGGAATTACTATGTACGGTTTATCAGTGGATGGTTATTTAGTTTAGCTGTCAGTTAACTAGTAATTATCATTAGTTAACAGACAAATAAACTAGATAACCGTTTACTAATAAACCCTCGAATAAACCGGTCCTAACAGAGATGTGACGTCATACTAGAAGTTAACTTTCAGTTATTTGTCAAAATAGTTTTGTAATACCCACCCTTAAATGACTAAGACATTCATATTTTTTCTATCCCAGGCTCTTGAATTTTCTCTATTTTGACAAATTCAAGAGCCAGGAATAGACAAAAATTGAGAAATAGAAAGAAGAAATTGGCAGACAAATGAACACAAAGTATTTTACTCCTATTTCAAACTCTCAAGAATAGAGAAAATTTCTCTATTTAGAAAAGTTCAGAAGAAAACGAACATCCATGAGCCGGGAAAAGATAAAAATTGAGCTGGAAAGTTGAGAAATAGACGAGAAATGTAAAAAAAAGAGAAAAAATTGGTCGATAAGAGGACATTCATGTTTCTTTTATTCCAGGCTCTTGAATTTTCTTTATTTCGACAAATTCAAGAGCCAGGAATAAACAGAAGTTGGAGCATAGAGAGTTTAAAGAAGAAAAGGATCAGACACGAAACATAAAAACTACAGAATCACAAATAAGAGTTATACAAGAAGAAGTTAAAAAACACTGTAGCTTCTTGAAAAATGGTAGGGTACCAGGCCCAGGAGAAATATATGGAGAACTGATAAAGTATGGGACCAATAAACTCTACAAACATTTAACAAACCTATTTCAAACATGCATAGATAAACATGAAGTACCGGAAGAGTGGAAAATAAACTATTTAACAACGATATATAAGAAAGGAGCAGACAGAAGCAAATGCAAGAACCACCCAGGAATTGTAGTAACAAATATGCTGAACAGAGTGTATGGAAAACTTATAAAAGCCAAAATAGAGAACGAGTACAAATATAGTGAAGCAGAAGAACAGGCCGGTTTTAAAGCAGCAAGATCAACTGTAGACCACTGTAGTTTAACCCAGGTAATGGAAAAGCAAGTAGCATATAACTAAGAACTCCACATTTACTTTTTGTAGATTTGAAGAAAGCATAATGAAATTGAATAACGGACAAGAAATAAAACAATGTACTGAATACAAATATTTGGGCATGAAAATCTCACATGAGGGAATCTTAAACGAAGCGATTAAGGATCGGAATATACAAGGACGCAAGGCAATATCCCTACTAAATGATGTACTGTGGAACAAATCTAGAATATACAACACCATAGTCACATATTATAGTTCAGAAGTTTGGCCACTAAAGAACAGAACTGCAAAAATGGTGGAAGCAACTGAAATGGACTTTTGGAGGAGAGCGGCAGGCAGGTCAAAAATGGAAAGGATAACAAATCTGAGAATTAGGGAGATTATGGACGTAAAGTACAGAATACTAGATGATATAAAGAACAAACAGCTGAACCGATAATTATATATAGTATATGGAGCATAGAGAGAAAACTGAAAAATAAAGGAAATAATTTCAAGAGAAAAAATTGTTATGCAAGAGGACATTTATGTTTTTTCTATTCCAGGCTCTTAAGTTTCCTCTATTTAGAGAAATTTAGAAGAAAACGAAAATTCGAGAGCCGGGAATAGACAAAAATTGAGATGGAAAAGTTGAGAATTAACTAGAAAGGAAATGTAGAAAAATTGAGAAAAAAATGATAGATAAAAGGACATTCATATTTCTTCTATTCTAGAATCTTGAATTTTCTCTAATTTGACAAATTAAGGAGCCGGGAATAAACAAAAATTGAGGAATGAATATGAATATTGTATCAAAAGTATCGATATTTTCTCATACATATGAATATACCTCGGAATATACCAAAATACCGATAAACCCTTTTCTACCTGAGGGATGAAAAATTGAAATTTCCATAGAATGAAAGATAACTCAAAGTTTTTGGAAGTAAATTATATAATTTATTCATTATTAAAGCTTGGGGTTTGCCAATAACTTTCTATTGTGAAATTTCAAAACATTATGATTGTATAGTTAATCTGAAATAAGGGAGAAGAAATTATATTTTTTCTCTTTATCCACCATACCTGTAGAACTATCTCATTGCCTTGCCTATTATCAGAGTACAAAAATTCATAAAATATGTCCTTGGAGCAGTGCAAGTTTGTTGTATACAACAGTTCCAGTTCAATTATTGCTTGAATTGTTTTATAACCGCTTCATAGTTTTCTAATAGAATTCATATAGAGCTGAGCCCTTCTTTGGTCAAGGGTATTAACTAATCCACGATTTTTATTGGACCAGTAGGTATATTGATGTAAGTATAAGCATTATAGGGCAATATTGTTCTGTTTCAATATTGCTGTGACAGTGATTAGACCACTATACTACAAAACCCATACCCATTTCGTATAAATGTAAGGGGATATCGTTGCAGTGCAGTCGCACGAGCTAAATAATAAATTTATTAGTAAAAAATAGGTACCTATCAAAATGAAATTGTACTGTTGTCATAAATCATAAAATCATAAATGTTACATGCTAGTTCAAAGCACTCTATATAGCTCCAGAACCAATATAAGAGCAGGACGTACGTGTCTAAAACCGACCAATAAAAACAATATCCGCGTTTATATTTAATTTTAACAGGTTTAACACCCTTCATGCAAGAATCAAATTAATTTTTTTTCTTCTGAAAATACAATGCGCAATACAAGAGTTACGACTTTTAATAAAATCGTACAGCCATCTTGTTTTAAAATTAGAATAACTATATCGATAAAACCGCAACTGGATTGAGATTATTGCCTTCTTCTACGTGACTTTTGCCGTCTTTCCGAGCCCATTTTCATCCGGAATAATAATTGACAATTTATTATTATTTATTGTCGGATTGTTCTTTGTTCAGGTAAGTTTAAGACGCAGAAGTTTACGGCTTACACCTGACCATTGAACCAAAACACAGCAGCCAGTGGATATTATTCAAATTGGTTCTGAGAAGAATTATTGAAGGTATATTGGTTGTGGAGGGTAAAAGGTTAACTTGAATTATGATGGTTTACCTGATAGGCAAGTGCATATAGTTACTAAGGAAGTATAAGTTGGCATTTTTGTTTTCATATGATTATGGCAATTTGTGATTATCAAAAAAATTAAATGTTTTGTGTGTTTCCTAAACAGGTAAAAGAACCAAATTTTGGGCTACTTGAAAAAAGAGATTTTCCTTAATCTCCAATAACAATTTGTTAATGATTGAGCATAGGTGTTATAAAATTGAAACAAGAGCTTAAAAAACTTGAAAATTACTTTCGAGTTTTAGGATGAATTAGAACCAATGACTGGAAATCAAAGTATTTTCGACATTTTTTAGAACCAATTGTAGTAAAAATTCACTCACCGTGATCAGTAACCATCCAATGACAAAAACAAAAAAACTCAAAATTGAATTCTTCGAGCACTTCAAAAACAGTAATCCAACAGTAAAGTTACACTGAGGCACTGCGCGCACATATTCAACTTAAAAAAGAAAATCCACCAAGTTCAAAAATAACAACTAAAAGCTCACACGCTCTCTGAGCTTAAAATTGATCCTTAACTTGTATGCTACTAACCGTGCAGAGCACACTGAAACTATTTGAAGATCGGTAGACTTGCTGACCACCCTCTACCTGTGTTCAGGTGTTCGTGGGGGACTACCGCCCGGCCAATCGGAAACGTCTATTTCGATTTTGACACGTGCTCTCTACACAAAAGCTCTCTCTGGAGTCGATTTTGTAAACTTTACTATTGTGCTTTTTTAGCTGTTGCACTGTCTCAGATATGCAGTCGAGATTTTGTTTTATATGCAGTACTAATTGGGTGGGTTTGGATCCGAACCCAAACAGGGTACCACCCACAACGGAGCAACCGGAGGCATTTTATTGGACGGATGTTTTGAGTTTTTGTTTTTTTTTCCGGAAATCTTGCCCCTTCTTTTTGGTTTTGGGTCGAGAATGTTTTACCCTACGCCATTATTATGGTTGGAAACTAAATATTTTTTACTCAGAAGCTCTGAGCTGTTTTTTCTTAAAACCATCAATCTTCAACTACTAAGAAAATAACAAATCATAACTCACACAATTAACAACACATAAATTATGCAGAGGGTAAATACCTACTTGACTTTTTGATTATACATTATTGTCAATCACCTTACCGAAACCTCCTACCTGCTGCACTTTGATTGTCCATAAACTTGTAAATTAAAATTCAAGGAAACACCTAAAATTAGGTGATAATTGAAGCTAATATAATCGATTGGTAGAGGTATTCGAAATATTTTATGGATAAACTAACAAAATTTCGTTTGTTTTAAGCCGAATATTTTGTGCAAGGTTGCATCACGTGTGCAAATAATTTTTAAGAAATCCAGGTCAATTATTTGTAAATTAAACGAAACCCGTATGAAAAATCACTGTTTGGTTTGCGGTATAGACCATTTTTAATCCAGGATAATATATATCCAGCCTCGCCCACCGGTATATTCCGTTTAAGTGTTTTAAATGAGTTTCTTGTTACCTTAAATAGGAGTAAATTATCGGAAAGCCAAAAGTCAACATGCAAATAAGCCGTTACACGTGATATGATGCACAGTAGCAGCGGCGAAGTTAATTGCTTTCAGGAATTATTTACGGGCTATTTTTACACTCTAATTGTTGCTATGATAATCGCGGTGAAGAGTTAGGTTTGTGGGTTTTGGTCACTTGAATATGAGAATCTCCAAAAACCCAACTGAGTTGTAAAATCAAATGATGTGAAGACTTACAGCCAAAGTTGTTGTTTTAAGCAGATACATTGTCATCAGGGATCAAATAGTTCAGGACAAACGAAGAATTCAGGGTTCGATGTTGAACAAAATGTTTCACTGAAGTTCTCAGACCAAAGAAAATGAAATTTGAAGCCATACTCCTGGAAAATTGAATGTAGGTTTCAGTAGCACTATCTACTGATATTTTGGACTTTCCACCTATAGCAGCCAATGTAGTTTAAGCTAGAGATCAACTTTTTTCCTGTTTTGTAATGATATCAATGAGATTTGATAAAAGAGTCCTTTTTGAAAAATATTTACGTGCGACTGTACAGATTCGAGTACAGTGAGTTATTTGTGAAGTTGAGATGAAAAGTGAACTTAAAGTGACGTAAAATGAGTGACGAAGAGACGATTTTCATGATTCCAGGGGCCCGATTCTCGTCTCAGGGAGTAGAGCTCCCCGATATAACGAATTCTATATCCTTGTCAACGTAATCGGAAAGTAACGAGAATCGGGCCCCAGAGACGGTTTCAGCAATGGTACGCCAACAGGAACTTATGTACTAGAAACACAGGTAGAAACTGTTGTTTTAAATGAGCTTTTTTGGAACATAATGATAGAAAACAAACGTAGAGATGCAATGATCGAAAGATCAGATGATTACGAACAGAGGGGCAGCACCTACACAGCCAGTTGGTCACCCCATAGCCCCCGAAAACTCACAAGGTCTTTCTGTGTTCTCAGAAATTTTGAGTAACATTGGGAATTTTGATGGAACCCCTTCGAAGGCAGTTTTGTAGTGAGACACATAAAACCCCACACCAAATTCCAGACAGCTACATACTGGAAATAGCAAGAACGAGGTTAGTAGAGGGAGCTATATATTGGTATTTGACTAAGCGTAATGAGATTTTGACATGGAATTTGAAGCCATACTCCTGGAAATTTGAAATAGCTTAAAACCATCATGTAGGTTTCAGTAGCACTATCTACTGATACTTTGGACTTTCCACTAGCGATGAGCGAGACTGGTCTTGGTCTTGCGATCTTGGTCGAGGTCTTGCAGAAAATGCAAGACCAAGACCAAGACCAAAACTGAACCCTGCAAGACCAAGACCAAGACCAAGACCACTTATTAGACTGCAAGACCAAGACCAAGACCGCGTATGCAAGACAAAGACCAAGACCAAGACTAGCCCGGTCTTGGTCTTGGTCTTGCATTTGTTCATCACTACTTCCACCTATAGCAGCCAATGTAGTTTAAGCTAGAGATCAACTTTTTTCCTGTGTTGTAATGATGTCAATGAGATTTGAAAAAAGAGTTCTTTTTGAAAAATATTTACGTGCGACTGTACAGATGTGAGGACAGTGTGAAGTTATTTGTGAAGTTGAGATGAAAAGTGAACTTAAAGTCACGTAAAATGAGTGACGAAGAGACGATTTTCATGATTCCAGGAGCCCGATTCTCGGCTCAGGGAGTAGAGCTCCCCGATATAACGAATTCTATGTCCTTGTCAACGACGAGAATCTTGCTCCAGAGACGGTTTCAGCAATGGTACCCCAACAGGAAGTTATGTACTAGAAACGCAGATGATACACAGGTAGAAATTGTTGTTTTAAATGAGCTTTTTTGAAACATAATGATAAAAAACAAACGTAGAGATGAAATGATCGAAAGATCAGATGATTACGAAGAGAGGGGCACCACCTACACAGCCAGCTGATCACCTTATAGCCCCCGAAAACTCACAAGGTCTTTCTGTGTTTCCAGAAATTTTGAGATACATTGAGAATTTTGAAGGCAGTTTTGTGGTGGGACATATTAAATAGTGCGCAAACCCCACACCAAATTCCAGACGGCTACATACTGGAAACAGCAAGAACGAGGTTAGTAGAAGGAGCTAAATATTGGTATTTGACTAAGCGTAATGAGATTTTGACATGGAAAGATTTTGTAGACAACTTCAATGCTACATTTTCGCCTAAAGAAAGCTTGGCAGTGACATTGGAGAGCAGAGTTCACGGAAAAAATGAATGTTTAAATTTATATTTCCATGAGAAAGTAAAGTTATGTACGGATTTAAGCCTAGAAATAGATGAAATCAAAAAGCAATGGGTTAAATTCTTGATCAATGTGGGCAAAAAGGCATTATACCACAGATGCATTATTTCAAGACTTACACAGCTACGCAGACATTGAAAGTAATCGTCAGCAGCGCTTTACTGGCGTTCATAGAGGTAACTTCGATAGAACTAAATTGAACAAGGAAAACATGAATAATGCCCAGAAAACAAGTGAGAAGCAGAACCAGACACCACAGACATTAAGTAATGAGACAGCTAAGACACCACGACAAGCTGGTAATACTAGAGTAGAGGGTCAACAGCACTCTTCGAGATACTTCCACCTAGAAATACTGAATACAAGCTTCAAATGCATGAAATATGGAAATATTGTTCCCAAAATCAACCCCGAAGCACCTCAGACAAACCAGCAACCAGCGGTAAACTCCCAAAATAGTGGTCAAAGAGCAAAATCTAAAATATTTTCAGAAAGCAACTGTCAATGAGAACAGCATAAAATCTTATGAGGACTTAGGTAGTCAATGCAATATGCTGAGATTATCAGATGCTGAAAACATTAAATTGAAATATGACAAATTGACAAGTAACATGTGGATCAAAGGTTTTAGAAATGTTTACATAGGTTTAGACCAGGCGTATGCTAGAACTGACATTTACATAGTATCAGATGATGTTTTAGATATGCTAGTTTTGTTATAATACGATACGACTGCTACACTGAGAATCTTTGAAGAAAAGAATGAAGGTAAACTGGATGATTGTTTGAAGGAACTGAAGATACCAGCCTAAAGTGAACCTATGAGCTAAAAACTCATGCGTAATACCATCATTGGTTATACTACAGTCTATGCAGAAAATAACAAAAATCAATTGGCATCATACTAACATTAATTTTGTAAACAAGACATGCCATATGGAGGAAAAATCTCTCATTCATTGACAGCTAACCCGACTTTTGTATAGGGCAGTCGTAATCTAATATTGAATGTGATCGTATTTCCGTACATTGAAACCAAACCTCAAACGGACATTCTGCAACTTTTGTAGACTGTTCCGATCTCGCTGTGATAAAGCAGACCAATAGACAACATCCCAGTAACTTATGGGTGAGAGAATGAGTATCTGGGTGTCAAGAATATCTTGCATTTACAAAATACCATAAGTCTTCGAAATCAAAGACGATACATGAGTGAAAAATCTAAGATCAGCATCAATATTGAGACCAAGATTTTTGCATGAAGTCACTGGTGTGAGTAGAAATAGTGTTCAGGAAAATTTGCAAATCAAGATTTGTTGATACAGTATCTCTAGATTTTCCAAACAAAATTAATTTAGTTTTATTCGCATTAGGAACAAGTTTGTGCGCATTTGAGACTCTAGCCACTACATCAAGGTCAGTATTAATGGCCTGTACTAAGTGTAAGGAGTGGTAATTCTGAGTGTCGTCAGCAAATTGATGACACTTTAGGGTTTTTAAATATTTTGTCGGAGGTGTACAGTGAAAACAATAAAGGCCCCAACACACTATCCTGAGGCACACCAGTTGGTAGGGTCCACCAAACTTTCAAGAATGGGGGAGGAGGTTTGCCTTTTACATACTTAATTTTGAAAGTAACTAATTTATGATCAGAAATGTCAGTGAAGTCATACGTTTCACTATTATCAACTAAAGACGAATCACTACAGACCAGTTAATCTAAAAGAGTGCTGAAGTGTGCGGTAACCCGAGTTGCGTCAATGACACACTGTTTCATCCCGTATTTGTTGGAAAAATTTTGAAGTTGGAAGAAACTAGGACTATTTGCGTCAGACATGTCCACATTAAGGTCATCCCCAAAGGCAATAAAATAAAATCAATAAGTCGCCCGATCTAAGTTCCCTGTCATGGACCAGGCTCAATAATTGGTTCCGCCCCAAAACCAAAACGATGATATTCGAAAAGTATTCCAGACTAACACGAACATATCTTATGTATCGGTCTTTTTTTAACATATACTAATCATCATCGCATAGGATAGAGACAAGAAGATACTCTGGGCCAGAACGGAACGTATTACTACGACATACAGGAGGCCGAGTTTCGTCTAATGTTGTGTTGCCAAGTCTAATTGAAAGGCAAAACTTTATACTTGCGTTAGAAAGAGAAAATAAATATTCCTACGACTAAATGTGGCATTTTAGTAGTGGGTCAGGATAGAAAGAACCGGACATGTTGTCAACATATATTTTTGTTTAT